GCGCCTGTAGTTCCAGCTACTTGGAAGGCTGAGGCGGAAGGATCACCGGAGCCCAACAGGTCGAGGCTGCGGTGGCCAGGAGCGGCCACTGCACTCCAGTCTGGGTGACAGAGTGAGACTCCAACTCAAAAAACAAAAACAACAACAACAAAAAAAACAAAACAAAATAAATAAATAAATAAATAAACCAGTTTCCTCAGTCATAATATATGGTAGATTATAAAATTTCTGTTATCGTCCATCTGTTAAAAAAAAAAGTAATGGAAGCTGTATTGTACCTTAGTATATTTTAGTTAGACAAATACAGAGGATGATTTGTGAAAAAAAAAAAAAAAAAGTCCATTAAGGCCAGGTGTGTAACTCACACTTATAATTCCAGCACTTTGGAAGGCCAAGGGGAGAGGTCACTTGAGGCCAGGAATTCGATACCAGCCTGGGCAACATAGTGAGGACCCATCTTTACAAAAATTAAAAAGTTAGCCATGCATGGTGGTATATACCTACAGTCCACCTAGTCAGGAGGCTGAAGTGGAAGGATTACTTGAGCCTAAGAGTTTGAGGCTGTGGTAAGTTAAGATCATGCCACTGTACTCCAGCCAGGGCAAAAATATATGAAAACCTAGATAAAAAGAGTCTAGGGGATGATATTTTATTTGATGACTTAAATGTAAATAACAAAAGCAAAGATGCTTATGATCGTTGAATACATACATATTATTCTAGTAAGACAAATACTCTTATGCTCTAAGTTTCTAATTGCATGTTTTTACCCATAAGTATTGTTTCTTCCACTAAGCATTTTTCTGCCCACAAAATACAGGCATGTATTTTCACTCTGGGAATGCAAGGGACAAAGAATCCATGAAACTAGAATAAGTACAGGATGACTGATCAGCAACTGTGATCACACACTAATGAGAAACCGAGAGAGAGATAGAAAGAGATGAAATGCCCAAAAATGTGCTGCAAGATGCTGAATTAATCAAGTCTTCAGAGAGCTATGAAGAGTTTATCCCGTCCACTAGAAAAGGAAGCATCTAGATGATCCTCCTAATTACAGATGGAAAGGAAAGATGCAATAAGTAGCAACCTGAAGCAGGCTATCTAGATCCAGGTCCTGAGTAACATGGGACAGAGACTGGGTCTTTAAACTATAAATAAAACAAAGACCCACCAAGCTGTTGCACCTTGGCCAGCTGATTATCAGCGAGGGTCCTCAACTGGGAATAAAGTGAAAATTTCTGATCAAATCTGATTTGATGCTTGTGATTTTGGGTCTTGTAAAATCATACTGCTATGAGATTACTAGCATGGTTCATATTAGGGGCTTAGGAAAAAAAAAAGCCTGGGCAACACAGCAAGACTTCATCTCTACAAAATTATTATTATTATTATTATTGAGTTGGAGTCTCACTCTGTCGCCCAGACTGGAGTGC